TGCTTCTGGGCACACTAGCCCTGGGTTTTTTTTTTCCCTGCCTGTAAATACTCCTGCCACTAAAAGCTTCTAAAAGTCTATGTGTGCATGGACACATAGAATAACATGGAGGGGCATTTGGAAAAAGTAAAAAAAAAATGCCTAATGTCCCTAAAAGTAGCTGCAAAAATGCCCTGTGTACATGAGGCCTACAAAATACAAAAAGGAGCGCCAGATCAAAACCAGATGTAAGTGTCCTGAATGCTTTTACTGTTGGAACAAAAAGGTCATAAAGGAACAACCAACACATTTCGAAGGCAAGACTTCCTCCTTCATCAGGGCTCAACAAAGCCTAATACCTCGATGGAGCAGCAACTGCTGTCAAGTTGTTACTCTGTGTGGAGAGTTCAATACAGGTTCCAACATAGATCTGTGAGTCCAACAAAGTTTTCTAATTTTCTAATTTTTTCACACAAGATTCACATAACTTTCACCAGGATCTACACACATTTCAAACTGATCTAATTAAAAAGCTGTGTGAAACTTCGGTAAATAATGTGTGAATCTTGAGTGAAAAAAGATAAACAGACTCCTAAAAGTATGGAATGTTTCTGGTATAAAGCATTATGAACTTTCTACAAATGAATAAAGGTATTTTTTTTAAGTGACACTAAAAAAGAGCAAAGCAAAAAAAAAAAAGTATATATATTAGGAATTGGTTAATGCGATGTTAAAAAAGAGAGGATTAAATAAGAAGCGTTTCATGGGCAACATATATTGCCGGAACCAGCATCTTCTCCCCAGCTTCTTCCAGCAGCTGGTCTTCAGCCGTCCTAATTGGTTGGTGCGGGATGATGTCATTCTTGCAGGAGTTCTGTCATACTGGTTCACAGCCACTGTGCGGGAATGTAAACTGAGCTCTGCATGAGTCTACATTCTACAGAAGACAGCAAGTAGACAGGTACGTTTAACCAGTTCCACGCCGCCCTGTAGTACAAATACTGCTATAACGCAGCACAGGTGTGCAAAATCACGTATATATAAGTTCTGGGTAGGGGGCGTGCACATGCCATTTGCGGCCTCGGCTGTCAATCACCAGGTCCCAGCCGGTGATTACTCACCGGCACCCGGTGGTCACTGAGTATCTCCGACGGAGGAGAGACCTGTGTATAAACAACACAAATCTCTAGCCTGTCAGCTCCTGCACACTGCTTTGTATGGCTCTGAATCAAAAATATTGAATCCACCTGAATTAATTGTGAAGAATAACTGGTTCTATTCTAACCGAAATACGAATTTTGGAAGCTGGCTATATTCTTTCTATTCTACTCTGTTTTCTTCTATTCCCTTCTATTATTTTCTATTCTATTCCTTCCTTTTCTATTCTGTTCTGTCTATTCTTTTCTATTCTATTCTGTTCGATTTTATTCTATTCTATTCAAAATTCATAAATTCGAAGAGACTGGAGACAGCTATATTCTTTCTATTCTATTCTAGTTTTATTTCCTATTCTATTCTATTATTTTCTATTCTATTCATTTATTTTCTATTCTATTCTGTTTTAGTCTATTCTTTTCGAAATGCAAATTTTTTATATAGGAAGACGGCTATATAAATTCTATTCTGTTCTTTTATTTTCTATTCTATTGTTTATTCTTTTATATTCTATTTTATTATTTTCTATCCTTTATGTTCTATTCTATTCTGTTTTATTGTATTCTATTCAAAATTCAAATTTCAGAAGATAGCTATATTATTTCCATTCTATTCTACTCTAATCTATTTTTTTTCTATTTTATTATCTATTCTGATTCTATTCTATTTTAATCTGTTATTTCCTATGTTTACAATAGATTTAGATTTCAAATTTGTTTCCTAATTCAGTTTTGTTTTTGACTTTGTTTTGGATTCTAATCGAATTGGGATAATTTGTTATTTCAGATGAAATTTAGTTCCATTATTTTGGATTTGTTTAAATTCATTACAATTGTGATTCGGAAATTCGGATATGTCTGAACCTCTAAATAACAAACATTTTGTTTGAATTTTGAATCAGAATGAAACTAATCACACATGTCTACCAGACCATGGCTAGTGGGCGGGGCCAGCAGGGTGCTTCCTGAAAACATCACAGCCCCCTGCCTCAGGGCTCAAAATACTTCAACCCTGAACAGTGAGCTGACTCTTAGGAGGAGCTATGCAAATACAGGCGTGCCTCGGTTTACGAACGCCTCGATTAACATAATTTTCGATTTACAAATGAAAATCCATTGAAAATAATGGTTGCAATATGAACGGATTAATTAGTTTTCAATGGATTTACAATTTTTTTTTAATCATGTCCCTGTACAATACTATGCCTTTAAAGTGCACTTTTTCTTACTTTTTTCTGATCTCCGGAATGGATTAATTGGTTTTCAATGCATTTACGATTTTTTTTTAATCATGTCCCTTTATGCCTTTAAAGTGCACTTTATAAAGAATTTTGAACAGATAAAAGACTTTATCTTTACTTTTTTCTGACCACTGGAACGGATTAATTGGTTTCAATGCATTCCTATGGGAAACCACGTTTCGATTTACAAATTTTTCGCAATACTGTAAGTCCCACAGAACTAATTAAATTCGTAAACCAAGGTACACCTGTATCAAAATGCCCTCATGGGGGGATTTATATGCAGACCTCTATTGGTAATACCCACATGTAATGCTGGGCCTCCATGACTGGAAGAACTAAAATCCAACAAATGAAAGGGGCAGGCCCCGAACAGAAAGGCTGGGAAGGAAAAAGCTATATAGCTGATATTGGATGTCCTCCAGCCAGGTTAAGAGGCAGGCTTTATCTGACTTGCTGTAGCTTTTATTGCCTCCTGTGAGAAATCCGAATCAGGAGCGTAAGAAAAAAAAAACTTATGGCAAACATTGAATCTGTGCCCTGTCCAGTGTTTTCTGAGCCCCTTTGCCATACCCTGGATTGGCATCATGTGCTTACATGGCACCAGCCTGCCTTTACCCTGGAAACACGTGACTATTAAATAGAGGACTCCAGATTTCACAATACAGTAAGGATGATTTGATCTGCTAATCTGATGGGGGTGTTGGCAGAATGTTTGAGTGTCCTATACTGCACCCAAGTACTTCCCAGGCATTATTCCCCCTTAAAGTGGTGCCCTGGGCAAATGCCATACCCTGGATATGTCACTGGAAGTCAGCGATTTCATTACAGTTGAGGAGCATGTGCTGCTGTATAAGACTGAAGGCTTGTTCACACTGCCCACATGCTAATCGCTCCATTTTAGTGTATGGGCAGCTGCCAGTTTTAGGCTGCAGTGAGCTGCAGCAAGAAAGCGATCTGATGTGCATTTTGGTGCATCACATTGTTTAATTTTTTTCTTTTTTAACCTTATTTGACATTCACAGTGACACTTCATTCATGTCTTCACACAGCAGCGCAGTGCGTTGCTCTGCTGTGCATTGATTTGCTGCATATATGCTTTTTACCCCAGCTCTCTGCACCGCACCCCTCAGACTGTGTTTCAGAGGGGCACAGAGAAATAACATGCCAGTCACTGAATTATGTGTGAGCGAGCTCTGAAAGTAAGTCTGGAGTTCTGCTTTAGGTAAAGCAAGTATTCGGCGCACTCAGAAAGGGCTGAAGTGGTCTCTGCAGGATGGACACAAGCAAAGAACAGTATGAAAATGTAGAAGTCCTGGTATAGACTTAACATTGTCTTTATGGATATATTATAGTCCTTAAAAGAAGCGTTACATGAAGGCTGCCAGCCGGTGGAGAGTTAGAGAGGACACTTCTAAGGCCTTCTAAGTACAGCAATTAAAAATAATTAATAAAAAGTATAATACACGTACACAGGGGCGGACTAACAACTCATGTGACCCCCGGGCAATAGGGTATCATGGGGCCCCTGTGTTCTTGCCCAAACTCAAAAAAGCTTATGAAAAAGGTACCAGGGGCATCTCATGGGGCCCCCTACTGACCCCGGGCCCTTGGGCACTACCTGAGTTTCCAAATGGTCAGTCCGCCCTTGCATGTACATATCATGCCTGTATTGTACTTTTTATTAAAGATTTTTAATTGCTGAACTTTGAAGGCGCCGCTCTTATTTTCCCTAATTCTGCTTTAGAGCCCGTTCAAATCACTTGCAGTGCAGGAAACGTGCATTTCTGTGCTCATTTCCTACACCGCACAGGAATGCGCTGCGGTTTTTTTAGATGCACGTGGATGGCATTACTTGTTAATGGCACCCCAAACACACCTAACAAATGCGCACACATTTGTGGTCACAAAAAGGAGCCCACGAACCCAGAAGAAGGGCTCGGGTGAAGATAGAAGCACTGTCAGCGGAGCGCTGATGAAGGGTTTCTTTTTAAGGTATCACATAATGCGCTAGTATGCAATGCACACTAGGATGTTATGCCATTGTCTTGCAGATTTTTTTTTTTTAAAAGGTCGTGGTTTGCTACTGCTTTAAGTGTAATTTTTCCTTAAGATGTGTGTTTGATAAACTGCTGCGCAAATATTGTGCAACATAAAAAATTGCAACAACCATTTTATTCCCCAGAGCGTCTGCTTTCAGAAAATATACAATGTTTAAGGGGAGTTTGAAGTCATTTTCTAGTTTACAAATATGCTGGTTTTAACAAGTATATGGGAAACAGCAGACTTGACACCAACTGGAATAGGTTATGAACAAAATATTCTAAATGCTAGTTTGATTACTAACATGTTATTTGAACCAAATCAATTATTATAATCTTCCTTCTTCACTTCCAAGGAGTGGAAATGACACTTCCTGGTAGTCATTTGTTCTGTGAGTAGTTAGTTCAGCGGCCATTTTGTCGAAGACAAGTCTTCTCTTTCCTTTCTAGTGCCTGAAGGATTTCCAGATGCAGAGGCGTGACGTAAATGGCTGTCATATTAGCTCCGGCAGGCCTAGAGAGCGGTTCTGAAAGGGAAGTTGGGAAGTAGTTGGCCGAGAAGTTGGAGTGTCCAGGCAGCTATCATGTCGGCCAGCACGGAGAAGGGACTGAAGGAGACGGTGTGGCAGAGTGAGTATGGTGTGCGTGTGGGGATATGAAGGCCTACATTGTTTTGTCAGAGCTGAGATCACATCTGTAACTTTCATTCTGAGAGAATAAACGGGCTGAGCAGCACATTCCCCTCAGAGTGCAGCAGAACACCTCCATAGACGTAACTAGTCCGTGTATGGGATCTCTCATACCATGGAGAACTGTTTAGCTCCCAAAGTGACATGAATGGCCGAGCTGACGTGAGCAGTCCTCTGCAGACAGTCCCCAGTGACCGGCATCCTTCCTTTCCCCCTAGGAGCAGTGTTGTGGGGACTGGCTGTCCTGCTGTGTACTCTGCACACCACATGAAAAACACCAGACATGGACATACCTGTAGCAGAAATGTTTACACCTGCATGCAATTTTCTAACCACTCCATCTCCAGAAAGTTTTATCCCCTTCACGACCAGGCCATTTTTTTTTTGCTATTTAGCACTGCACTATTTTATCAGGCAGTTGCGCTGTCATGCATCATGGTACCCAAACACAATTTCTATAATTTTTGTTTTTGCACAAATAGAGTTTTCTGTTGGTGGTATTTGATTACCACTGTTTTTTTTTTATTTTTTTGCAATCTAAATGAAAAAACACTGAAAAAAAGAATAAAACGTTTTACTTTCCGCTATAAAACATATGCAATAAATAAAAAATCAAATGTCTTCATAAATTTTGGCCAAAATGTATTCTACTACATGTCTCTGGTAAAATGAAAAATCCAATAAGTGTATATTGATTTGTTTGCACAAAAGTTATAGCGTCTACAAACTATGGTATACAGTGCCATGAAAAAGTATTCTTACCCCTTGACATTTTCCACATTTTGTCATGTTACAACCAAAAACGTAAATGTATTTTATTGGGGTTTTATGTGATAGACCAACACAAAGTGGCACGAAATTGTGAAGTGGAAGGAAAATGATAAATGGTTTTCAATTTTTTTTTTTTTTTTTTTACGAATATGCGGAAAGTAAGGCGTGAATTTGTATTCAGCCCCCTTTACTCTGATACCCCTAACTAAAATCTAGTGGAACCAATTGCCTTCAGAAGTCACCTAATTAGTAAATACAGTCCACCTGTGTGTAATTTTATCTCAGTATAAATACAGCGGTTCTGTGAAGCCCTCAAAGGTTTGTTAGAGAACATTAGTGAACAAACAGCATCATGAAGGCCAAGGAACACGCCAGACAGGTCAGGGATAAAGTTGTGGAGACGTTTAACTTTTTTCCCCCGCCACCCTATAGCAAAAATAATACTACAGGGTGGCAGGGCTGCGCAAAATCATGTGTATATACGTGATTTTGCATTTCTGGGTAGGGGGCATGCTGGCCTTACCCGCGCTGCCATTGGTGGCCTTAGCTGTTGATCGCTGAGTCCCCAGTGATTCCAGTGATTCCCCCCTGTATGTGATCACTGACGGGCTCTGAAGAGAGCAATACTGTATGTGAACAATACAGATCTCTCCTCTGTGCATTAGTACTCAGAGTGCTGCACATTGCTTTATATTGCTCTGCACAAAAAAGAAAAAGTATAGTGTATAGTGTGAAAAAGACAGGACACGGTCTTTGACAATGTCCCCCGCAGTAGATCCAACATCAATCACAATGCCTGCCACTGCTGCCGACCCGGAAAAAGAAAATAAAAAAATATGTAAGGGGCGTGGCCACCTGGGGACATCATGCATGTGACCCCACCCCATGTAACATCAATGATGTCACATGGGGCGGGGTCACTCGGCTGATGTCCCCGGGTGGCCCCGCCCCTTACATATTTAAGAATTGTCAAACCACCGAAGCAGGCAGATGGCTGGAGCCACATGCCATCAACATGGGGACAAGGTGCTTGGTGGGGGGGGCATGTGGCCTGGTATGGTTCAGGAGTGGGGGGGGGTGCTACTGACCTGCCGGGCTGCTGGCTCGGTCCTGAGGAGAGGTCTGGAGTCCATTTCAGGGTTTACGAGTATCTGAGAAGTGCCTTATCCCCATCTGTTCCTAGATGACCACTAGTGCCCTACAGAATACCATTTACATGCACACTTTGAGTGTGCGTCCGGTGAGTGCAAGCACACCTCATTTTTTCGTATCCACAAGGAGTCACGAGCACCTTATTTGTTTGAATCCTATAAGGAGCAACTAATACCAGCACATACTAGATGATATTAGAACGTCCTTGAAGGAAAAATAATTTGTGGACTAATATGCGTTTATGTTATACGTTTATGTCACAAATTTTTTATCCATACAGGACGACGCACTATTCTCACCATATTGTGCTCCTTATTAGCGCTTTTTCCCTTATCACTTTATATTGTTATTATTGTTATTTTTAGCGCTGCAATGATATTATAGAACACATGGTTGTCCCTACTAAAATAACAATGACTTAATAAAATAACTCATGCGGTATTTTAGTAGCGTTTACTGTTTTTCTGACCTTCGGAATGGATTAATTGGTTTTGAATGCATTCGTATGGGAAATGGTGTAACGGTTTGCAAATTTTTCGCTATACGAAAAGTCCTGCAGAACGAATTAAATTCGTAAAGTGAGGCGTGTGTGGTGAAGGAAATACGTATTTGATCCCCTGCTGATTTTGCAGGAAATGATCAGTCTAAAAATTGAATGGTAGGTGTATTGTAACACTGAGAGACAGAATAGCAACAAAAAATTCAAAAGAAATGCATGTCTAACAAATTATGCACTGATTTGCATGTTCATGAGGGAAATAAGTATTTGATCCCCTATCATTCAGCTGGATTTCTGGCTACCAGGTGTCTTTCATACAGGTAACAAGCTGAGATTAGAAGCAGTCTCTTAAAGGGAGTGCTGCTAATCTCATTTTGCTACCTGTATAAAAGAAACCTGTCCACAGGAGCAATCAAACAATCAGATTCCAAACTCTCTACCATGGCAAAGACCAAAGAGCTGTCCAAGGATGTCAGGGACAAGATTGAGACCTATACAAGGATGGACTGGGCTACCAAACTATCGCCAAGCAGCTTGGTGTGAAGGTGACAACAGTTGGTGCAATCATTTGCAAATGGAAGAAACTCAAAACAACTGTCAGTCTCCCTAGGTCTGGTGCACCATGCAAGATCTCACCTCGTGGAGTATCAATTATCATGAGAACAGTGAGGAATCATCCGAGAACTACACGTGAGGATCTTGTCAATGATATCCAGGCAGCTGAGACCACAGTCACCAAGAAAACAATTGGTAACACACTACGCCAACAAGGATTGAAATCCTGCAGTGCCCACAAGGTCCCTCTGCTCAAGAAAGCACATGTCCAGGCCCGTCTGAAGTTTCCACTGAACATCTGAATGATGCAAAGGAGGACTGGTGGAAAGTGTTGTGGTCAGATGAGATCAAAATTGAGCTCTTTAGCATCAACTCAACTCGCTGTGTTTGGAGGAGGAGGAGGAGGAGGAATTCTGCCTATGACCCCAAGAACACCATCCCAACTGTCAAACGTGGTGGAAACATTCTGCTTTGGGGGTGTTTTTCAGCTAAGGGGACAGGACAACTGCACCGCATCAAAGTGACGATGGATGGGGCAATGTACCGTCAAATCATGGGTGAGAACCTTCTTCCCTCAGCCAGGGCATTGAAAATGGGTCGTGGATGGCTGTTCCAGCATGACAATGACCCAAAACACACAGACAAGGCACCAAAGGAGTGACTCAAGAAGAAGCACATTAAGGTCCTGGAGTGGCCTTGCCAGTATCCAGACCTTAATCCGATTGAAAATCTGTGGAGGGAGCTGAAAGTTCCAGTTGCCAAACTTCAGCCACCAAACCTTAATGACTTGGAGAGGATCTGCCAAGAGGAGTGGGCCAAAATCCCTCCTGAGATGTGTGCAAACCTGGTGGCCAACTACAGGAAATGTCTAACCTCTGATTGCCAACAAGGGATTTGCCATTAAGTCCTAAGTCATGTTATGTGAAGGGGATCAAATACTTATTTCCCTCATGAACATGCAAAGCAGTGCATAATTTGTTAGACATGCATTTCTTCTGAATTTCTTGTTGCTATTCTGTCTCTCAGTGTTACAATACACCTTCCATTCAGTTTTTAGACTGATTATTTCTTTGTGAGTGGGCAAACATTCAAAATCGGCAGAGGATCAAATACTTATTTCCTTCACTGTGTGTGTGTATATATGTATGTGTACACACACACACGTACACACACCGTATAATGGAACTGCGATAGTGTGGCATGAAGTCTGATGCTGTAGGAAACTGACTAATTGCCACTGATAATACTATACACGGTCACTGTACTAATGTTACTGGCTTGGAAAGGGTTAACATCTAGGATGATAAAGGTGTTAAATATGTGAATCATTGGCCTGGACTTGCTAACAGACTAAACCTAGAAGCAGGCAGCGACGTACCAGTACATTGCTTTGCCTGCACAGGCTGCCCGTCCGCAGTACATTGAGGGTGGGTTGTCTTAAAGGGCAAGCATGTCCAAAGCTTTTTATTTTAGTCCTACTTCTCCTATGGATTACATGAGTGCACTTAGTACTAACAGTCACCGCTCTCTGGTCATTGAAGACTGAGAACTGAGCAATGAGTGGTCTTTGTTAAGTTCTCGGAGGCAACGGGGGACAGATGCAGCATCCACCTAGGTGAGTATCTAGGTAAGTTGTGTTTTTTTATTTTCAATCCCAAACTCCTCTATCAACCACTTTAACCGCCTCCCGCCCACCATAAATAGGAATTTACGGGCGCAAGGCAGTTCTCTTGTTCTGGGAGGACATCATATGACATCATCCCATGCTATCGGTGGTGCGCTGTCCTTGAGACACAGTGGATCACCGATCAACGGAAAGAGCTGATGACGTCGGCTCTATCGTGATCAGCTGTGTCCAATCACAGCTGATCACATGTAAATAAGGAAATGCCGGGTTTCTGCATTCCTCTTTTCACGAGCTGTCATGCTGACAGCTCGTGAGGAGAGGAGAGCCGGTAATCAGC